CGGTTCAACCGAACCCTTGAAGAGCATTTGCAGAAGGTCGTGGACAAGAATCAGAAAGATTGGGATGTCCGCATACCCTTGTTCCTGATGGGATACCGGTCAGCAGTGCATGAAACAACGGGTAAAACTCCTGCAAGGGTAATGTTCGGCAGTGAGCTCCGTTTGCCTAGTGACCTGAAGTTTGGAGTAACTGGCGATGCAAGGAGAATTGGGAAAGAGACGTCCAACATCCTGGAAGAGGAGCTGAGAGAGACACATACTCTTGTGAGGCAGCGAACTCAAATTATGAGTGACAAGATGAAGGCCAAGAGGGAGACTTAGTGTTGCTGTACAATCCACAACGGAAGAAAGGTTTGTCCCCAAAACTACAATGCAACTGGGAAGGTCCGTATAAGGTCGTCAAACGGCTGGATGACGTAGTGTATCGAATCCAGACCGTTGGGAGACCAAGAAACAAGATGAAGTTGGTCCACTTGGAAAGGCTTGCAGCGTCTGGAACCGCAAGTGTGTCTGATCGGGACGATCAGATTTAGGTGTAGGGCAGTGTGGCGAATACTGCGGCAACGCGAAGCGAACAACGAGAAATAGGCAGAATGTTCGAGGAATGACGTAGAATGTTCCACAAAGAGAAACGTCAAGTTGGATGAACACTGCGAACAGCTAGAGAAAGAGAATGAGCGATGAATTCAGAACATTCTAGAGTTGCCATGAGTGCGAGCGCAGGAATATAAGAGCAACGACACAGCGGAGTTGGAGAGTTACAAGTCAGCAAGCTACAAGTAAAGTGAGTTGCGAATAAGCAAGTTTAATTGTGTTAACAAGTTTTGTAAAGCNTAATTGCTTTTACGAGTATTGTAAAGTGTTTTTACTGTATTAGCGAGTATTGTAAATTGTTTGTTGTACAATAAAGTTAATTGTACTACAATTTGGTCATCGTGAGCATTTATTTAACAATCCAGCGATACGAGCCGTAAGATATTTGGGAAATCCGACAAAGTTTCAAGGATAATCGCATTAATATGTATGTACATACATACGAGAAACAATTAATTTCATTTAAAGAAAAGGGGTGTCGTCCGTTTCCGCTAAATCGTATGTGGTGTATAGGGCGACATCTACCTCTCGAACCAACGGGTTTCATATCTCGACTTAATAGGAACTTTGCAAAGTAAAGCTTTTAGAGCTGTCTGGACCCACAACATTGCAAGTTGATAAAAGCGTTGTACAAATTTGAGATCGATTTTAAGCGATCGTTATTCATATACCCACATACATATGAATGTACATACATATATTACTTTTCATATCAATTCAAGTCTATTACATGCGCCCTGTACAATCTGGCAGCCTTATTGTTATTTTGAGTACTAAAGAGAACGGACATTTACCAAGGAATCTCCCGCTATTCTCTTCACCCATCTCGGTCTTTGCTTGCAGACGCTGCTGTATATGTAATATATAATATATTCTTAAGTCAGTCAGCATCAAACTGTCAAGTAGAGTAGAATTGTCGCGCAAATAAAACTGCTGTAATTTAAAATCAAGAACCTCGTTTTACTATAGTGGAAACTACACATTTAATGGTGGCCCATGAGGGGAATATTCCCTTAAAATTTGATTAGTACAGTAAGGAAGAACAATTAACGCTACTAGGTAACATTTTGTCTCCCGCTAAGACATGCTCGAAAGTTGCATCCGCATTTTGTCCGCAATCTTATCGCCGTGCATTGTGCCCCCGCCCCTCAGCAAGTCTCTTTGCATCCAATTTGTGCAAATTGGCGGTTCGACTAATTCCTGCTCTCAGCACTGTGCTCCATCGGCGCTACCTGCCGCTCAGCATTCTTGAAGGTCAACTCAAGGTTCTCGCGCTGTCGCTTCACATATACAAGCCCAGGCCTCAGTTCACCAGAGACAGCGATTATCAACTACACCACGCAAGAGTGAAATAGGTGTATGTGTGCATTTAATTTGAGTGTTAATTTTCGAATATCGCTGAGTGTCACTCAAAATAAGATGAGTGAGTCCATTGAAGCACTAATTAAGCTACAGCTGAATCGATTCGCAGCACTTGAAAAGATTCTGGCAAATTTTAAGAAAGATTCAACTGCACGTAAGACAAAACCATATTTTCAACAACGGCTGTCGCGGATCGATGATCTTAACAGTGAGTTTTGTACCACTCACAAATTGATTGTTTGTTCCGATATCGCCGAAGACGATGGATATTTCCGTGAGGATGTAGCATCTCAATTTGAAGAGATGCATCTCGATTTGTTTTGTTTGCTGACTCAACGCCAGGAAGAGATGTATCCCCGTACAATTCCGCCGGATGAACCACTGCCGTCGAATCTTCAAAATCGAAATACATCCTCTATTAAGCTGCCACGATTGCCAGTTCCCTCGTTCTCTGGAAGATTCACTGAATGGCCCAGCTTCCATGACTCTTTCAATCGACTCATTCACCAAAATATTGAGTTGAACTCAATACAAAAATTTCACTATTTAAAACAAGCACTTCCAGCCGACCGAGATGTCGATATACACCAAATGCTTTTAACTGAGGTAAATTATGATACTGCTTGGGACTTGTTGCTCAAGCGTTACAACAATCCGCGAATCCTGTTTTCGCAGCATATGAACACGCTTTATAATTTACCCCAGTTATATAAAGAGAAATCTGATAACATCAAATCAATGCTGAACGTGGCAAATGTCTGCGTAAATGAATTTAAACGCCTAAAAATTCCAATCGGCGGATGTGACCACTGGGTTGCTCATTATCTTGCGACCAAGCTGCCAACCGACACGCATACCGCATGGGAGCGACATCTTGGAAGTAAAACCGATATACCAACATTCGGTGAGCTGGAAGCGTTTTTAAACACTCGTATTTTCACAATCGATGCAATCGAAAATCGCAGCATGACCTTTACTGCTTCATCTGCAGTTAAATCTCCAAAGGATACAAAACATCAAACCCCTTTCAATTATAACAACTCAAAACCCATTCAGAGATCGATTGTTAATGTTAAAAGTTTTCACGCTGCTCCAAACGTCAACACCGCTCAAGTTGAATCTTGCGCTTTATGCGGTCAAGCACATATTATACGCCGCTGTCCAACCTTTCTCTCAAAAGATTGCTATGAGAGGAAGGCAATCGTTGATAAGGCAAAGCTGTGTCTTAATTGCTTAAGTAAGGCTCATGCACTTTCTAAGTGCACTAGCATCAAAAATTGCCTCCAGTGTGGCCAACGTCACCACACTTTACTGCATTTTCCGTTCGCTACAAAGACTACTCCTGCAAATAACGCTCTTACGCCATCAACTCAACGCGTTTTATCCAATTTCAGCAACGTTTCAGCACCTCCACAAGAACAATCAGTTCCAATTTCTTCAAACACACCTCTTTCGACAGCAGTTTTAGAGGCAAGGCGCTTCACTCGCGCTCATTCTACGCTAGCGGCAAATTCAACACAATTGGGTGTCGATAGGATCCCCGTACAGGGGCCGAGACACATACTTCTTGCCACGGCGTCAGTAGTGCTGTGCAACGAAATCACGAATCGATCGGCGATAGTACACGCTTTGATCGATCAAGGATCCGAAGGAACGCTTATTACAGAAAATGCTGTTCAGCAATTAGGCCTGCAGCGTCATCCCACCGCTGCAGATATATGCGGAGTAGGCCCAAACCTATTTAGCCAATCACGATCATTGGTTAGCTGCACTCTTCGTTCATGCCACGATGAACACTTCGCCGCTCATATTGAGTCTGCTTATGTTCTGAAGCAACTCACAGCACCCCTGCCCAGCCAGGAAATTGTGCCACAAGATATGGCACATCTACGAGGACTCGCTCTCGCCGATCCCAAATACTACCAGCCGAAAAGAATTGACCTCATTATCGGCGCAGACATGATCGCCCAAATATTGGAGCCGGAAACCCGCATTGGCCATGTTAACCAACCTATTGCCCAAAACACTCATTTGGGATGGATTCTGTCGGGACGAATAAATTCTGACACGCCTTCTACTGTCACTATTCGCTGCCACCACAGCAACCTTGAGCTTGAAGGGCTTGTGCGAAAATTCTTTGAGAACGAGCATGTGCCCACTTCTGTACCAATGTCCGCTCAAGACCAGTGGTGCGAAGATTTTTTCCGTAGCACTTATACTCGACAAGCAAATGGTAAATATCTGGTTCGTTTGCCTCTGTAGTCATTATATGATCCTAACCAAACTATAGGCAAGTCGAAACAAATTGCACTGACCAGATTTCATCAGCTAGAACGTCGATGGAATTGAGGACTACTTTCACCTGAACCAAATTCGCCCAGCTATGACAATGTAGGAACAGCACTGCTCAACAACCAAATGTAACCAGCTAACCGTAACATCCTGTGTACTGCCGCATCACGCTGTGGTGAAAGAAACGAGTGTCACTACCAAATTACGAATTGTCTACGATGCGTCCTCGAAAACGCCAAATGGACGTTCATTGAATGATTTACTATGCACTGGCCCACCATTACAAAACGACCTTTCGGCTGTCATCCTGAAGTGGCGATTGCATAGATACGTCTTCTTGGCCGATATACAAAAAATGTATCGATGTATCGACATGAACCTAGAGGATTCAAATTATCAACGCATATTGTGGCGCAACAAAGATGGACATGTTTGCGAATACTGCCTCACGACGGTGACCTTTGGAACAGCGTCCGCGCCGTACACTGCAATTAGAGTTCTTCATCAGCTCGCGCACGATGAAAAACACCGATTCCCCCTCGCTGAGAATATTTTGCTTCACGAGATGTACGTTGACGATGTACTAAGCGGAAGTGATTCAATTGCTAATGCAACACTGTTGCGTGATCAACTGATAGCGGCGTTAAAGTCAGCTGGCATGGAACTCAGAAAATGGTCCAGTAACACTCCTGAACTTTTGCACTCTATTCCTTACGAGCATCAATCGTATGATCCAGCACAACAACTCAACACTAACGAGACGATCAAAACGCTTGGCCTGCATTGGCAGCCGAATCTCGACTCTTTCACTTTCTCAGTCAAATTTGCTATCAACTCCAGCGCAACAAAAAGATCGGTTCTGTCAACCATTGCCCGTTTGTTCGATCCCCT